AATCACTCTTCTGTCTGTTCTGTTTCTAAAGAACGCATGAACGGAACGTATTAATTACAAAAAATTACATTCCTACATGACTTAGATTCAATAAGGCCTTCTATATGTTGTTTTTGCGGTAACATATGCAAACTTTGTTTACGCGCAAGGCCAGCTGTGCGTTAAAATAAAATTTTCTACCGAAAAATTTTTCGTTACTTCATTTTTTGCAATAAAACTTCACAAAAGAGCTAAATAAAAATTTTTAAAACTTCTATCGCTGCTTGCTTCTGAAAATAAATGCGATTCCTTAAACTTCGCTTAAGTTCCATTTTATCAACTTCCCACATAATATTTCAGTAGTGGAAAGGATTATTATTCCACCTTTTTTTACTAACTATGGAATTCTACCACAGCAAAATGCATATAAGAAGAAAGTTTGGTTTTGTCTTTCCTTATATCATAGGGAATTTCTGAAATAAAAACGTACTCATGATGTAGCCAAAATGAGAGTCTATTTCCCCATACAAGTTTAAATAAGAGGGCATTTTTCCAAACCAAAGCCCTTTTTATTCTTCAATCCACTCAGTTGATCATAATAACCTTTCCAGATGTACGCTAAACTACCAAGTTAAATTTCGTCATGTAAGTTGTTTGCAGGACTCGCAGGACTGTACATTAAGGAAGATTATTTGTAATATATATATGTATAGTTTACTAATTCATGTCAAGCTTGATTGTCGAAAACATCACGATGGATGCTACTGACCGACTGTATGTTCTACTCACATCGCGTCTCTATGAAGCCGTGAACACGCCGCGAATATGCCATGAGCTGCCTAATAATCCGCAGGTTTTTCGTAATGCTGCGGCCATATAACTACATAGGATTGACGCGAGACTGCGACATTTATAAATGATTTACAACTATTATTATGGCTCCGTTGACCACTAATGATATGCACAAAAATTGCCAACTTACTGCTGATTGTTGCCTTAATTTGCACGATCTAAGCATACAAAAGGACTTCAGTGATGTAATTTTCACCAAAATTCTCAAACGAGTTCTCAGTCAGATATGTTTCCTTAGCAGGGGTTTAGCTTTGGAGCAGCAAAATCCCTAGATATTTCAATGACGCCACTACGACGACTTTACGTAGGATTGTTTCTGCACACTGGCAAAACTCACATAGGCAATACACGGCTATTGAAGAAACACACATTTTCTTGATTGATCTCCAGTAAGCACATATTGGAACATCTATAATTTATAGGTAAAACATATACAATTCCAGACAAGGACGATAGTTTGGTTAATGGTTTGGATTCTGATGCGTGTCCCTCATCAGAGAAATTGCTAAAAACTTTTAAGTAACAGACAGGAAGTTATAGTATTTAAAGAATATACTCATTATCAAGCTGCATAGAGTTGACAATTAAAGGCTCTTACTATCTAGGGTGCATGGCCGCTCTTGCGCTGAGTGCATGATAGCTGGTGTGTGGGTCGTGATCTGAGGAACGTCCATCTTCTTTCCTCGACTTTTGTTTTCTAGTTGCTTTACTGTCTACGATAGTATCCACTCCCTATCAAATAATTCCTTGGAATCACAATTTCGTTCTTAAACACGAATTAATTTGATAGTGAGGTGATACCTCCTCAATATTTATTTTCATTTATTTCGCACACAGCGCTGATGGTATGAATGCAAAGATGTCTCGCATTCGTTAAAAAGTATTCACAGATTAAAATGAGGCCAGACACAAAAGGAATGTAAAGCAGAGTTTGATTCACTTCAAAAAATTGGATGCAGTCATTTATAACAACAATACACAAAAGATCTTCTATTATATTGATATGCTCCTTCTTAATGTCATGCGGGTTGGTTCAGAAATCTTGAGGCTGTAGGCGTCCAATCCAACGTCGGCGGGAAGATCATCGCTGGCGTTAGTACGCGACCTTTTAAGGGAGACGATTCGGTTGGCATATTGACAAGCCAGCATCCGATTTAGCATCTTCCGGTACTTGTCCCAATAGAAAATGTAGATAAAGAAGTTTGCTGTCGAGTTTATCTGGGAGCAAAGGGCCACCACATAGAAGCCGGTGGTAAACATGACCATGCATACACAGGTTGGGTAACGCAGAAAGGGAATTGAAAGAAGCTGAAGTATACTCAGAGGCAGCATGATTACAGAGAAGGTGAGGATGACCATTAGCAGACCGCGGGTCAGTTTGAGTCGTCGCAAAACACGGGAGTTGGAGTAGGCGCCCTCTTTGCGGCGATCTGTCTTTGCAATTTGCTGTTTGTGCTTTTTCATCTGCTTCAGACGGAAACCATCTGAACGTCGCATTGCACGTACAATCTGAAAACTACAGACAACGAGAATAAGAAACGGAATTTGAGTGATCACGATGCTGTCAATGTAGGCGTGTAGTTGCCAAAGCCATGAATTCACTCCCGACCACGGTGGCCTAGCATTGTCGTTTACTCCGCAGGAGATCATGGGAATTACCGCATTGTCGATGGCCAGGTGGCAGATGAGGGGAAGCTGAACTAGGAGCGCAAATCCAAAACAGGCAGCAATG